ACAATTCAGTTTTTGCGGGATAGTTTTTTTTATAGATACGGAAAAAAACAAGATCCTGAAAGAACTTGAAACCCAGACCTTGGGGCGCAGAAACCTGGAAGCTGTTAAAGTTCAATAATAAAGCAAGCTCAATTTTTTCTGAGAAGAGTTGTTTATAAGGAAAAGTCTAGTTCCTGAAAAGAAGTCACTTGTTCTCGCAAGTATATTGACAAGGTAGTCAACAAAAAATCAAACAAAAGCCGTTCAGTCGAAAAGTTATCGAAAAATACAAAATCATTAAAAATTCGGCTACGTCTCGGACTCGATCAATCTGCGAACAAGAGATTATGAGTCTCACGCACAAACAACTTAGCCACAGACGATTAATAAATTACAAACACTAGCCACAAATAAAGCAAAGAACAAATGCTATGAAAATTCCAATGCTACAGATTGTAATTACAGCAAAAGTGCCATCAAATAAGTAAAATTTTTTAACGAAATCTTTCATTTGCGAGTAAGGTTAGAGAAAAGAAGGTTCGTACTAATACAATAACGCTCGCAAGGTGGCTAGTGTAAAAACCGAACCAAACTGGAAACAAATAAAATATACCAAATCGGTTTTGGTAAATTTACAACAAAAATAGAACAAGAAAACCTTGTCAAGATACCAAATATTTACCATCAATAGTAGCCAGTAGTTAAGTTTGATGCTTATACCAAATTGGTCTATAATTCTCAGTTTACAATAAATTTTTCTCTTGATACGAGAAATGTCTCAAAAATTAGCAAAAACACCTAAATCTCAATTAATTTAACTCAAATCTTAGAAAATTTTTGAAACTTTTTGGAAATTGAAATTTTGAAAAAAGTGATATCAAATGTTCTTCGATATTATCAAATAAAATAAAAAACCAAATTGACAATAATTCATATAATTGTCCGATATTTCCGAAATAAAAATTTCCTGAGTTCCGAAAATATATTTGGTCTTCACTCATTCTGGTTACCAGTTTTTCTGATTTACAAATTACATATCGCATTACAATTACTTCAAACACAGCTGAAACAATATTTTCGAGAGCAAATTTTCCAACATATCTCTGATTAGTTCTTCACTACTTCTGATTAACAAATTATAAATTGTTTCCAAATAGCAGGAATCAAAACAGTATTATCATCAAATAGTTTCCAGTGAATAACGAACTTCAGTTTTATGAAACATTTTAAAGCAACCTCCATTTTCAAACTTAGAAGTCGATCCCGTTTTTCGTTACCTTCACAATTTTGCTGTTCGATAGTGGAGTTTGCCTTTCTTTTAACAAAAGAAATGCACTGAACTTAAAAAGAAATCCGCGAAAATCAAAATTGAGCGTGAAAAAATTTTAAGACTTTTCTCTGAAAGTGATATCAAATTTTGTTTAATATTATCAAATAAAAAAAAATAAAAAATAAATTCATATAAATGTCCAATATTTCCGAAACAAAAATTTCTTGAGTTCCCAAAAAATATTTGACCTTCACTCATTCTGGTAACTAGTTCTTCTGATTTACAAATTACATATCGCATTACGTTTACTTCAAACACAGCTGAAACACTTATTTCGAGAGCAAACTTTCCGAAGATATCTCTGATTAGTTCTTCACTACTTCTGTTAATAAGTTTTTCTGATTACCAAATTATCAATTGCTTCAGAATAGCAGGAATCAAAACAGTATTATCATCAAATAGTTTCCAGTGAATAACGAAATTCAGTTTTTTAAACGTTTACTTAATGAACCAAAAGTTGAAAAAAAAAAAAATTCACACGCAATTATGGCTAGCCATCAATTTACATTTGATGAGTTTCAGAAATCTAATAAAAAGCTCGATACAAAAAATATATGCAGATCTGTACGACCAGAAGGAGGACTACAAGTTTTCTAGACTCGGATGTTTCTTTGAGGAAAAAAGACAAACATAACGCTGTTGATTCAACCACCAAGAACCAAAGCACTAAAAAGAATGCAAACAAAGTTTTTGTTTCCGTTTTGTGAAAAAATTTGAGCGTAAAAAAGAAGTAACAAACTTAAAGGGAAAAAAATCACCCAGCCCTTCTGATCTTCCAGCCTGGGCACTGAGAGATGGATGCAAAGTAAAATACCCACACCTCACATTTCTTGCAAATGCATTTATGAAGTACAATTTATTTCAAACTAGACTCAAGAAAGCTATTGTTACCCCAATATTCAAAAAAGATGACCCAGAAAAAGCAGACAATTATAGACCAAATTCCATAACAGGTGTTATTCCTACAGTTTTTGAGAAAATACTACAGAAACAAATCAATGAATATCCATTATCTAAAAACCTGCTCAGCAACATCCAATTTGGTTTTAGAACCTCATGTTCAACGATGGACGCAACCCTCTATTGCACTGAATTCTTCCGCAAAACAATGGATATAAACAAACATTTTGCCGTATCTTGATTAGATTCATCAAAAGCTTTCGATTCCATCAATCATGAACATTTAAAAACTAAACTGAATGATTTGGGATTCTCTGAGTCAGTAATTGAAAAGATTCAATAGCTTCATAAGCAGTAGACAACAAAAAACTAGTAAATAAGACTGAATCCGACTGGACTTCACTCTACCAAGGTGTACGTCAAGGTACAATTCCGGGACCCCTAATTTTCAACCTATACGTGAATGGCTTGAACAAACATTCAGCAGAAATTTGCAAAGTGGCACAATATGCAGATCATACACTACTATTTTGTGATGATAATGACATAAAGAAAAACTCTACAGCTATTGCGAAAATCCTGTCAGAAATTTTCTCTGTACTCCACAAAACATCATTTCAAACTCAACAAAAGCAAAACTGAGCTGATAACAATTAGCTAAAAACATCGAGGAAGAAACCACAATACAAATTCAGTATAATCTTAGATGATAACAAAAAAAACACAAGTTACATATTTGGGGGTAACTCTAGATCAATTTCTGACCTTTAAGTCAGAAGTTAAAAATTTATTAAGAAAAATGGCTTGCGGGATCAAAATAATACAATCGATAAAAATACCACTGACAATCAAAAACCAATTACTTTTAATGAACGCCTTAGTCATAAGCCATCTGCACTACCCAGCAATACTATTAAGCAGCTTAACATGGAATCTAACAATATCACTTGAAAAACAACTGAGTTGGGCAATAGAGACCTGCTGTGACAGAAGAAAGTTTGATTATTTATCCGATCTTAAGCTGAAATACAAGGTACTGCCGGTTTCCTTGTTTCTCGATTGGAACATAATCTGTCATCTATGAAAAATCAGACATAAACTACTACTAGCATACACAAAAATCATGTACGAGAACAACACAATTGATGAGAACAAAAGAAATAAAAACTGCTTTTTCAAGCAAGATTCAGCAGGCATTATATCGAAAAAAGTTTTTTTTCAGAAAATCAGTTCTAATTCGGAACCAAATTCAAAATGCAAATCCAAACATAAGTAGCAGCAGCAACAAGACTGAGATTAAAATTACATATTTTCTATCTATTTTTAGTGAAGATCCTTCTCAGTCGAAATCAATAATTCTTACACATTTGTGAGAAAAGTTGTTTATCAGAAAAAGGTTTAGTTCCTGACTAACAGATACTGGCTTCCGCAAGTAAATCAAGGATAAAAAATTTCATGGCTTTGAGAAGGTCTTGGAGACTAAATCAGGAATCAAAAACAAACTCGACCAGAAAACCCAGATGAACAAGACCACTATGATTAGGCAAAAAAGATGAGACATCCACAAGTAGCTTTATGTATCAGATATCAAGCCAGAAAACAACATATTTTGTCATCACAACACTTAATTGGAACCTGATACAATTTCCGAAGCAACAATTTCTGAACTTCTTAGAGAATAAATCAGGATTCAATAGCGTTTTGTCAACAGAGTTTACTCAAAGCTAAAAAAAACTTATATCCTAAATATATTTTTCCTCGATAAATCACAACCATTTCGGTCGGTCCAAAACAAATAACTTCAAGCAGGTGACTAAATGCTAAAAAATATCAACAAACATCTTACTGCGCCAAAACATACCCAACAAACAGTTTGAGAATTGTCAACGAACTCAAGTAATAATGAACGACGTTTTCTTAAGCTGTCGAAACTTGAAGACAAAAATATATCACAATGAAGCTCTCTAAATTCAATAATAATTTATGATCAACACTTTTTTTCATAAAAATAGCCAGTAGCGGATTTAAGGGGGGGGGGGCGGACGCCCCCTCCCTCAGGGATTCGACTGCCTACCCTCAAAGGCCCCCCCTTTGAACTATTTTGAGATATCCATTTTTTGCTGACGGACCCCTAAATTTTTCTAAAAACGCCTTTTTTCAAAAATTTGCCTGCGGCACAGAAAATTTGGTCTAATTGTGGTCTTTTATAGTGGTTTGGGAGAGCTCAGAAAATCAATTTGGTCGACCTAAAAAAAGGTAGACAAATTTTTCGAAAATCCGCCCCCCCCCCCCCTCGAAAAAATCCTAGATCCGCCCCTGAAACTAGCCCAATAAGAGAAAACTGGACCAAAGGTAATTGTTTATATTCCGCTGGGAAATCTGAAAATTGAAATTAACTTTTTTAAAAAGGTCGAATACGTTTTTTCGCGTCATTTACACAGGAGTAATAGGAGAGTGTAATTTGGCTTCTTTAGCAAATAGATTTAGATTGAAATTTAAAAAAATCATAAGTCAAACCGCAAAAAAAATCAAATTTGGCATGATCAGATTTTGAGACATTTTCATCAGATTTTAAGAAATATATCATCACGGCTACAAAAAGTGTCTTTACTACATAAAGTGACACTTTTAAAAATGCCATTTTAACTGTGTGTTATCTAGAGAAATTTCGAAGAACGACAAGTACCATTCTTGCACTAAAATTGAATTCCCATTTAATAGAGGCTACGATCAAATGTTAAAAAATAAGCTCTGCTATCATTACTGAAATATTAGAATTTAAAAAAGCAACCTTGTACTGCAGCTTTCACCGTGGCTTTCCTATCCTGCTTGAGAGTGTTCACCGCACTCACATATCGCTTCAACTGTCCCTTCAAAACATCCACCTCCTTCCTCAAACTGCTTTCAACCTCTTCGCTTGTGCTCTGGAGAGTGTCCAGCTCCTGTTTAGTGGAGTCCAACACTTTCTGGAGTCCCTCCGAGTATGCTTTTTCTTGTCTCAGTTGGTCCTAAAGCAACATAAATACGCGTTCACATATTGTCTCAGTTGGTCCTAAAGCAACATAAATACGCGTTCACATATTACAAGGAAAAAGTCCACCTAAGGGTGCCAGGTTTTAACAGACATTAGGATGAACTTTCTTAAAATGTATCGGGTAGAGCCATATGCATTTGATGCAACAAATATTGGTGCATGTTTTTATACTTTTGTTAAAACATACTTCAATCCTTTAACCCAAATTTTACACCAAAAAATTTTCTAGCACTTACAATAGCTTAATCTCTTTTATACAAGATAATTTCGATCAACAGATTAAGTAAGCATTCTTTTATATACTAGATACTTTCAATCAATTGGCATAAATTTAATTATTCAGTTTCCCTTCGATAATTTGCCACCTAAGACTCATCGATAAAATCACCTCCTTAAAGATTTCGACAACTTCACCAACACTATTTTTCAAGGGATACTGTCGCGGGCTCTACCTTTAGCGAGTTATTCTCCCGTTCGAATTCATCTTTGCGTCGCATCATATCCAGAACGGCCTGCTTCATTTCCTCCGAGGTCAGACTGGACGTCGCAGAATTACTCCCATTCGCAAACTCCATTTTCTAAAATCTATTCAATTTCAATCTTTAAATTTATGTAGGGATTTCTACAAGTGTAACTTAAGATGAGAAAAAAACGCGGATCAAAGTATCGAAGTCTCAATTCTAGTTTTTCTGTCTGTGAACTTTTTTATTATCAATTGAGATTTTGTCCGAAACATTCATTTTAATATTCCGTTACTTGACTCTGTTATGAAAATTAGCATTTCAAATAGAAGTAGCCATCCATTTCTTTTTTGAACTTAAAAACGGGACATAATTTCATATTTTTGAAAGCAACGACAGTGTTAAGCCACTGGCTCAAAATTATACGCATTTTTAAATGTATTTTTTTGGGCTGGCTAATGTTGCTTGGCCCTCGAGCCGCGAGCACGGGTCATGGGGGGGAGCATCCGACCTTCTGACTGAGAAACGGAGAAGATGCAACTACTGTGTCGCTCCCAGTGCTTGACAGAATTTTCCTATCGTTATAACTTTCGCGGATCTCCAACTATTTCTCCCCTATTCCGAAGAACGGGAAATAGTTAGGAGATACAAAATCCATTCGCATATGCTTAAACACTGATTTAGTTAGTTCTAATTATGGTTACACTTTACTAGGTACCACAGGGGGATATAGTTTAAAAGATCCATTTAACGTTGTGCTTTTTTTCATTTGCGTAGCATTGCAATCCAGCGAAGAAAAAGGAGACGGAAATCACTAGTCAAAAAAAATTCCAATGCTAATAAAATCATTAAAAGAGCGACCAATAAACCGACAAACTTGGGTAGATGCCCATTGAGACAAAATCAATAAAACGCAATGAGAAATTGTTGTCATTAAAATTTGAACGATGAAGTCTTAAAGCTTGAACTTATAGACCACAACCGACCAGAAATACTAGAAGAAATGCAATAATCAATATTTGCTCTTCGAACGACACAAAATAAGTTGACTAAGCCATTTAAAACAAAAAAAAAATCAAAATCCCAGTCGTCGGAAAATTGACAAAATATCAGAACAGTTAATTCTAGTAAGAATCATTTCAAAAAAACTATGCGTCTTTTCTGTTATACGGTCCAAACTTAGCAGAATATTACTAAGTAAAATTCTATTTGAAATTATGTTTTAGATTTCGTTTTGTAGAACCTAACTTGAAGCTATCAGACTCCTATCAATTTCCAAAAAGCTCAATTGGCCCTCAATTTCTTGCAGATTTAACTGTTTAAGAGAAAAAAATCAAGTTCCGAATTATAAGTTCCTGATTACAAGACACTTGCTCTCGCAAGTTTAAAAATGAATAGCTATCTTGACAACAATAATGCAATTTGTTCATTTTTGAAATGTAGCAAACATGATTTCATGTGGAGCAGGATCATTATGTAAATTTAAACCCTAAACCAAAAAGTTATCCTAAGTATCTCTAAAACGAATATCCATTCAAGTTTTGGCTCAACTAGCGATATAGAACATATTTTCAAGAAAGGAAAAAAAAACATTACCTGTAACTTAAGCTGTAGTTTATTCTGAAATAAAAGATGAACACTAGGGTAAATTGAATAATCAACGCGACAAAGTAAATGCGACTTTAACCCATTTCCATTATCTACTGAAGAAACTTTGTTGGCATTCCATGTTTCTTAATGCTAGTTTAGGAATACAAGCGTTTTTTAATACAAGCTAGAACACTACAGCCAATAAAAGAATATCTATTATTAGTTTCCATATTGTTTTGAAATTTAAAGAACTTTGCGCATACCTAGTTATATGTTTGAGTTGATATAGGGCGAGGCAAGTAAGAGAACCGACTGTGAGATCGCCATTTATTGTTTCTAATATTTTTGAAAGCATTGCTCTCAAAATATTAAATTTATTAGGAGCATTTTCATTTCAGTACAAGTGGAACAACAACTTACAATAGCCTGCAGTTTAGCTGCGTTGTCAGACTGACTCCGGTGATGGCCTGGTCTTCGTCCAGCGCCGCCTCTTATCGTACTCTGATGAAGTGAATCAACAGAAGAAGCTCCTCCCATCGCTCCTCCCAACTCCGACCCTACGTAGTCCCCACTGTCCTCCAGAAGTTCCAGACTTCCAGAGACTCCTGTTATTCCGGATCCATCGTCCAACGACTCCGAGTTCTGCGATGACATGTCAAGTCTTCCCATTGGGTGATTGATTTCAAGCTTCTCGAAAATTGGAATCAAATCCGGAGGAGCACTCGAATCGGATATTTGGAATGGATCCAAGGTCTGGTCGTAACCCTGGCCCAAGCTACTGGAAGTTGGTGCCGATATAGCTGACGAACCCTGGGTGCCAAATAATGACGGCACCTGGTTGTTTCTTGACAGTTCTTCAATTTTGGCCAGTTTCTTTTTCTTATGCTTTCGCCTTTTCTCAGAACTACCCGACGAATCAGTTCTAAGCAGCAGTGACTCCTGACGTTGTTGGATTTTGTTAGCTCCTGAAATCCGTAATTTAGATTGTGTAATACTTCACAATATTTGAACTACATTCCAAAAGAAATTGCACCGAATTTAAACCTAGAGAAAAAGTATAGTTAAAATTGTGTTAATAACAAATAAAAATTAAGCTCATTGTAATTCAGATCAATCAAGTGAAAGCTGAACATTCACATTTCACTGCAAGATTTCACACATCAGAGATAAAGTTAAATGCTACAAAACTTCAGCTTTGTTCAACAATTTCAGTTTCTCAAAAGGCTAGGGTTAAATTTGTACTTTGTCTTAATACAAGCTCATCATTATTTGAACACTTTTTGAATGAGGTTTTATTGAATTAAAGTATTTGAACTAACCAGCTTTATCGAGACCAATATCTGGAGATTCCGAAAAATCTGCAACAGTAGCCAGATTTCGTCCAAAATCCAAATCCGAGTTATCTATCTTCAACGCAAAATAAATATTTCTCAAGCTCGAAATCATCTGCGGCAAAGTCGCAGCTTTCTCTGTATCTAGCAAAAAGGCATACGGCTCGTAAAACTGCTTAGTCAGCAGCGGATCTGCTAGGATCATAGACACATAGCGATCTAAGTTGTGTTCATTTAGAGCCGCTCGAACCCACGCTCTCCCGCGACCGAACTCCGACGTGATATTTTTTAAAGCCATAAACCTCGCTAGTTCATCTTTGTTGAGAAAATTTTTGACAAAACTCCAAAATACTACATCTTCTCCGAGTTCTGGTTTCATATAGTTCAAATTGATACCACTCAGTTCTGTAATCTGTCGAAATGCTCCATCAATAACGGCTTTGGTCAATCTTTGCTTCAGACCATGTTGGAAAATCCTTTCTAATCTTAGCAGCAGTATAGAAACTGTTGTGTCAGTATCCGCCGCTAGCTGTGATTTACCTCCGAAAGTGTTTTGGCATTGCTTAACCGCTTCTACCGCATACGAGAATATCTTTTCACGCTCCTCTTCCTGTAAGTCGAAGGGACTCGGGGCTGGGTTCGACGGGGGACTTGTGCTACTCGAAGCAATACTGGTGTTTCCACTGGAACTGGAAGCCATTCGTTTTCGGTTTCCAGCTTGCAGGTCTATTCATTTACATAACTTTGACTAAGTCTGAAATTAAAGAGTTACAGATAAAATATTGTTTTTGCAGAGGCCAAGCTGCGTCTCGCAAACACGAGCAAAAAACAGCAAATATTTGAAAACATAGCCAACATTAGAGGTGCAACCGAATGTTCGAACGTTTGTTCGCGGAAAAAACTTCGAAGGCTCTCGCAAAAATTCGGTCCGATTTGACCTGCGAGTTCTTTACTCCAAGACTCACTATTTATCTAAGACTCACTACTTTGCAAGGAAAATTGTCTCAATATATACTCGATTACTCCATCTGAACGTGTTTTCAGAAATGCTGGAAAGGTTGTCACAAAGAAAAGAACAATATTTACTATATAGTCTAAACATGCAAAATATTCTGCAATTGAAGATTCAGTTGTATCAGAAATCAGATAAAAGTAGCAAGTAACGCACCTCCGGTGTTTCAAACAGATTAATGAACGCCAAATTTGCTTATATAAAAAGTATATGAAAAACAGAGAAATCAATGCAACCGGAACATCAGATAACTGCATCCAACAACGCTTTTTATTTGAAAATTTGAACGATAACATAACTTTCAATTTAAAAGTTCTTTTTGAATTAAAATATTAAAAACTCCAAAACTACTGGGCTTCGAATCTCCGAGATTTCAGCTCAGAAACAAAACCCTGAAATGGCCAAAAGCATACAACTGTACTTTCTATATAGTTTTTGAAAAATTTTGAAAAGACTTCATTTGCTCAATCACTAAATTCATAAATGAGGTTCTTGTTTAACTTAGCTCTTTATTTTCATTAGCTCTTACGTATCTCACTTGCTGCTATTATCATTTTAATCGTTGGGTAATAAATAAGAAAAAGTCACTCTTTTTTCTTAGTTCAAATTTTAATTTAATGAAAATTTTTGAAATGATATAAAAAACTATCCCACCACCAACGGGTCGCAAATTAACAAAACGTCATATAAACAAAAGTCATATCATGAAAGTAAACGGCGTTAAGCAGTCATATTTAAAGTCCAGATATACATCTGAGAGTACTTCGACAGCACCCCACCATAGTGTTGAGAATCAGTGACCTCAGTGAAGCTTTTTAGATCTGTTTTTGGAGATCTGTTTTTGGAAAACTTTTGGAATGATCAGAGTGTTCAAACTTGCAGACAAGAAGTGTAAACTCTGAGAGTACCCGGAAAACACCCTAATATAGGGCTAGGCTTTTCAATTTTTTTTTTCATTTATTTTTTTATTTAACATTTTGATTATTCTGCACAAAATTTTTCTATCTCGGAAACTTAAAGCATTTCAACAGTCACAGTTGGAGGAAATATTTGCAACCTCTGAAATAACCCTGGCAGCACTCAGCTTTTGGCTGGTGAAATTTCAATGTATTGTATGTGAACATTTTCATGTATCAGTTTTTTTTGAAAAAATCATAAAAAGGTCATTATTCGTAAAAAGTATTTGAGCAGTTTTATTTGGAGGCTTAACTTGCAAGCCCTGATATCTCGGAAAGGGAAACTAAAAGCATTTGAGCAGTCACACTTGCAGATAAAATTTGCAAACCCTGAGAGTACCCTGACATCAGCTAACTATAGGAGATAGTGACAAGATAATGAAATCCGTATTTAAATATATACTAGCGTTTAACGCACCTTCGGTGCTTCGAAATTTTTCGACAACTCAGTAAAAACCGCATATATTGGAAACAACATCTGCAAACTTTTAGTGAACTCTGACTGCACCCAATTACAAACTTTAAATTTTTTTTAAATTCCCATTTTAAAAGCGTCATCTCAAAAACTTAATGGAGCTCTGGAGAAATTCGTAGGCCATATTTGCAACCACTGAGAGTCCCTGAGAGCACCCTACTATAGGGTAAGGAATCCAAAATTTTGCGAACTTTTTTAAACCTAAGTTTCTCGAAGAAAAAATTGAAAAAAAAAAACGTCTTATCTCGGAAACTAAAAAGATTTGAGCATTCATACTAAGAGGCAAGATTTGAGACGCCTGGGTGTACGCTGACAATAAGGTTTTATCTTCATCAAGCTGGTAGTTTCAAATTTTTCTAATTTCTTTGTAGATAAGTTCTTTGAAAAATTTTGATAAAAATCAAAAAACGTCACATCTCGGAATTTAAAAGCATTTGAGCAGTCCCGTTTATCATTCGCATGTGGCAAACACGATTTACAACTCTTTAGAGTACCCTGACAACACCAAACTTTAGCGTTCGGATTTGAAATTTCGAAAAAAAAATTAATTTCAACTTTCTGAAAATTTTGAAAAAATCACAAAAAAACGTCACATCTCGAAAACTACAAAGAATTGGGCGGTCATATTTGGAGGCAAGATTCGCAATCCTTGAGACAACTCTGACAGGACCTAACTACAGGGTTGGGAATTTCAGATGTTTACAGAATAATAGTAATTTTTAAAAACTTATAATAATTTTCTGAAAATTTTTGAAAAAAATCACATAAAACATCATATCTCGAAAACTACAAGGATTTGAGCAGTCATATTTGGAGGCAAGATTCGCAATCTTTGAGATTACTCTGAGAGGACCCAATAACAGGGTTGGGAATTTCAGATTTTGCGAAAAAAATTTATATGTTTTCTGAAAATTTTCTGAAAAAATCAGAAAAAACGTCATATCTCGAAAACTACAAGGATTTGAACAGTCATATTTGGAGGCAAGATTTGTAACTCCTTAGAGTACTCTGACAGCGCCCAACTACATGTTCTGGAACTTCAAGTTTTTTAAATTTTTTTGTTATTTGAAATTTCAGATAATTTTTGAAAAAATCTCAAAAATCGTCTTATCTCGTTAGCTAAAATGAAAATGATTCGGGCATTCAAAATTGGAGGCCAAATTCGCCACCCCTAATTCGATATTGGGCTGCTTAATTAAAACTCGGTAAAATAACCACTAAAATCAAATTGGAAAATCGAAAAAAAAATCTTAACCATTGCAATATACGATATAGCTTAAACATGCAAAAATAATACGTTGAAAAAGCTTAAACATGGCGAGATAGTGAAGCCCGCATTTAAATATATAATAGATTGAACACAGAGGCGAAGCTGTGCTTCGCAAACACTTGCGAGAACACGACCAAAAAGCAGCTCTATCAAGTGACATAAAAAAAAAGAAATAAGCCTCGAATTTGCAAAAACACGAGGCTTAGCGAAAACTACAGTTAGAAAAAATCTGCGATCTAGCAAATTTGAGTCTCACGCACTAACAATTCAGCCACGGATGCTTAAAATACCCAAAAACTAGCCACCATTAACTCAGCTACATATGCCAATAAATTGCCAATTGAGTGCAGCAAAAGTAGCACGAAATACAATAGCACAAAAAGATACAATTTTGCCTGTAATAAATCGCAAATCACAAAGCCACATTATGTATAAATTATGCATTTCAAAAAATTGCGTGATATATTGAGTTAGAAAATTTCTGAAATCGAGATTTTATTAGTGGGATGTTGTTCAAAACAAATAGCTTTCTTCGGATCACTTGATGAATTAAAAATGCATCAACTGTGTTACTATATTACTATTCGAATGTCAAAGCTCAAGTTATCCATAAGCTGTAAAGGTGCAACAAATTGCCAATCATTTTGTATTGCCGTTTCGATGCAGCAAATAATGTTGCTTTCAGTCGCAACAATATTTGCGACTTAGGTTGAAAAAAAAGTTCGTACTATAACACTTTGCTTCGCAAGTGTAAAGAGATAGAGTAGATGACCAGTTATCAGAAATTTTCCCGAAGAAAAACAGATCGAGCAAACATTCCATTATTTTCCTTACTATTCGGAACGGAACAAAGAAAATAGCCTGCCTGATTATTTTTACTATCGACTGTAGTTCAGCACTGGTTTATATGCACATAGTGAAAAAAAAACTAGAATCCGGAAATTGATCACTAATACACGACGTAGGTTGTAAAAAGCGACCCCGTTTATATTTGTAAAAAGCGACCCCTCGTACAATTGCAACATAAATGTCACTACAAGTTTTAATTTGTATGCCAGGAACATCTTTGTTTTGATCTACACGACTTACTTTTGGAGTTCAAAAACCCTGTAAAAATTTACGCGAAAAATATTCATCAGTGAAATAAAAGGAAGACGAAAATTGCTTAAATATTTATTTCACAACCAGGATAATCGGTTGATGTGCAAGTAGCACAGAAGATTCCGACCATATTCATCAAAAAAGTTTTTTTTTCGTTTCTTTTCTTCGTAGTAGTGTCTTTTTTAGTGCGTGGTGTGACTCGAGAACTTCTGCAAAAAATGAATGACAAACAAACAATTTTCATATAATAATCGTCACTCGATTGCTTTACTTGCTCAAAATGGTACTAAAAATCAAAATTTTGAACCAGTTTTTTTCTACTTGAGATATTATTAAAAGTTTCCTAATTTTTGAACGAAACATTTTTAGTTTTCTTTAGACAACCTTTATTGACAAGAAAGCACTAAAAGAAACGCGAAAAACTAGTTTTTTTAATAGTTAAATTAAATATTTTTGGCCAAAAGTACAAATTAAAAAAAACTTTCATATAACAATAGTTACTCGATTGCTTTATTCGCTCAAAATTGTACTGAAAATAAAAAATTTTGAACCAGTTTTTCTCGATTTTGGAATTTTAGAAAAAAAATGTTTTCAAATTTTTTGCACAAAAATTTTTAGTTTTTCTGAGAAAACCTTTATTGATAAGAAAGCACTAAATGAAATATCCAAAACTAGTTTTTTACAGTAAAATTAGGTATTATTTAGCCTCCAGTATAAATTAAAGTAAAATTTTATATAACAAACTTGTACTAAAAATCAAAAACTTTAAGCCAGTGTTGCCCGACATTGGGAAATTTTTAAAAATGATGTCGTTCGAACCACGACCGAAAGGGCTTCAATTTGGTATGTTACTTGACCCAAACAGATGATTATTTGTCGTACCTGATTTAGCATCGAAAAAAAACTATAACACCCCGAATCCAAAGTTCCTCCCCA